TAAGATAATACAAAAACCTGCGTAATCAAATCAAAACCACCATCATAGATATGAATGCATTATGCACAGACATGTTCATTATTTCGACTATCGGACACCCCCCAAGGTCGCTCAGTTTATAATCATCCGAAATATACAGGAAAATGCACAGACACAAAGGTAGTTATGCACTGTCTGTTACAACCCAAAAAAAAAAAAAAAAAAAAAAAAAAAAAAAAAAAAAAACCAAAGCCACGGACACAGTTTATTTTGTCTATTAGGTAGTAAGCTGTACGGACTGCCCAATGTATCTTTACGCTTAGGCCGTTTGATAGACGGGTATTGAACACCCCCCACCCTCGTTCAATTTTCAAACGTTTTACAAAAACATTGACTTTTGCACAGACGTACAAGTATATATGCACTTACCGGAACAACCCAAAGAAAAGACAAAAACACGGACACCTCCTACCTTCCCTATTAGGTAGGACGGCGTACGCACAGGCAGGTGTCCCTTTACGCTGCCGAAGTAGCTCAGTTTATAACGATTCGAAATAACCAGGAAGATGCATAGACATAAAGGTGTTTATGCACTAACTGTTACAACCCAAAAAAAAAAAAAAAAACCAAAGCCATGTCCACAGTTTATTTTGTCTATTAGGTATTACGCTGAAAACTAAACGAGTGTGGGGGGTGTTCGATACCGGTCTATCCAACGGCCTAAGCGTAAAAGTGTATATGCACTTACCGGAACAACCCAAAGAAAAGACAAAAACATAGACACCTCATGCCTTGCCTATTAGGTAGGACGGCGTACGCACAGGCATGTGTCCCTTTACGCTCGCGTTTTTTTATAGTCAGCTATCGCCCACCACCCAACCTGGTTCAGTTCTTAACCATTTCGAAAAAAACATGGAAATGCGCAGACTTAGAGGTTTATACGCACTTACCCGTAATGCTAATATCCATTTGCTGAAAGTCCTCAATTGTTGCTCCTGCCATCAACCGCGAAGCCTTCACACATCTACCATTGTTAACGCTAATTCAGTTCCTTAATTATTTTAATATTAGAATCTTTTAATTTCCATCCTCAAAAGCATCAAAAAATGGTTCATATTCCATTAAAATTATGTCCTTAAATAAATTAGGCTTACAATTACTAATATAACCTTAACATTGATAATAGCTGACTTTATTAGTTTTAATCTCAACCATAGATGGGAATTTAATCAAGGTTATTAGTAGGCCTCATGGTCTCATCTATTAGAGGGAGTGCACCAGATCCAAAGCCTATATATATATATATATATATATATATATATATATATATATATATATATATATATATATATATATATATAGAGAGAGAGAGAGAGAGAGAGAGAGAGAGAGAGTTAATTCCAACAAAGGTCTGTGACAATTCCAAATTTAGTCTCAGACTATCGTTTTTGTCATTTAACATGCTAACCGGAAAAAACAATAGTTTGGGACTAAATTTGAAATTGTCATCAAAGATAGGGGACCTCTGGTGAAATTAACTCTTTATTTATTTAAACATTGGGTATTAACTCATTTGCGCAATGCGTGTGTAAAACTAATATATATATATATATATATATATATATATAAAAGATGGTTCATGTGCGAAGCTTCTCTCAGTTGAAAAATATTGGGATGAGATCAACGGTTCAAATTGAAGGAATTTGTCATTTTATTTTTAAAAAAATGTGCTTCTTGACAACATTGGATGCAAATGGTCAAGTGTCTCGAACTAACACAACTTAACCTTCGAACTTATGCACCTTAAGCTTTAAACATACGCAAGAGTTAAACTGATGCAACTTAAGCTTTAAATATACACATCGTAAGCTATAAACTTACGCACCTTAAACTTTAAACTTAGGCACCTAACGCTATAAACTTTAGGCACCTTAAGCTTTAAACTTACGCACCTTAAACTGTGACCTTATGCAAAACGACATAATGTTCACCACGTTTTTTTTTAATTATTCTTCATTCTAGGTTGTTGATTATGACAAGATCGAAGGCTGTGATTAATCCGCATGTTTCACCTGGGAGAAGCTTTGGACCTAATCCCTTATGTTAATCCCCAGGCTTCCCCCATTACACTTCCTCGTCAAGCTCCTAAGTATGGACCTTAATATCCCTAACATCAAGTAAGAGTTAAACTTTGCATGTGTCTCTCATAATGAATTTAGATTAATCTCGTGGTGGAGATACTAGATATTACACGCACCCCCACCAAAAAAAAAAAAAAAAAAAAAAAAAAAGAGGAGAATTTAGTATTATTACATGTCATATGGATTGCAAAAATGTCAAAAAATAAGATGAACAAATAAATCAAACAACAACTACCATATGCATAGCTTGTAATTATCAAGTGGAGTTGTACCAAACCTTCCCAGAAATCAAAATATTAGAGAAGTGTTATTGTAACTTCTATTGACTGCATACCAAGCTGCAAATCATTGATTTGGGGAAATTGTTCCTCCAGTAATTTAATTGCCTAGTCTTCATTCTATATTTTCATTTTGGTTATAATATTATTGGATAAGAATTTTTTGTTCAAAACAAATCATCATTTTCTTCCCCACTACGTAAATAAGAATATGACATTTTTTGTACGTTATAAATGAAAATGACAATTTGACAATGATTATATTCGTACGTACAAGCCATTGGACTCCAGTGACCTGCAGATTGGTGTTTGGTTCATAGAGTAAAGACTAAAGAAATGGATCAGTAATCCAACTAAGTTAGTCAGACTATTGACTTAGTAAGTTATAAGCTTGATTCTTATCAGGAGCAGACTAAGGGGGGTGTATTCAATCATGACTTTTATAGAGTTTTAAAGACTTTTATGAACTTTAAAAGTTTGGAGGTATTCAATTCAAACTTTTAGAGAGTCTTTAAAAGTCAGGCGGTATTCAATCAAGATTTTTAAAGAGTCTTTAAAAGTCGTGTGGTATTCGATTAAGACTTTTAAAGAGTCTTTAAAAGTCATGTGGTATTCAAAAAGTTATGAACTTTTGTAGACTTTTTAATTTTAAGACTTTTGTAGACTTTTCCTGGTCTAATATAAATAGTTGAAATCCAACCATCAACCCCAAGATTTCAAAATTTTCTTTCTAACAGATTTGAATGTTTTCTCTCTCTATTTAAACTTTATTTTTTCCATATTTAAATTTTATAAACCTATCTAAATTCAATAAAATTATTTTTTTCTTCATTATCCTATATTTTCCTCATACCTAAACTCTACCAATTTTTCTCTCTCTCCTGAACTTTACAATATTTATCTAAAAATTCGAAATAATATTATTTCTATTTCATTATTATTGCTTGTTTATATTGATTTTTATTTTTTATATAAATTTTTTATCCCTAACTTTCTCTAATTCTCCCTAAATACATGAACAAATCAAAATTTTCATCCTCAAATTTTAGTATATGTTTCATAATATTCATATAAATATTTATATATTTTGATTTTTTTATTATGTTTATATTCGTAATATATATATTAACAACAGGTTACTACGAATAGCGAACTACTATTCGCAACAACAATTTGGGTTGCAAACAGTAACACCTTGTTGTTCACAGTCTCAAATTATTATTGCAAATAATAGCTCTTTGCAGGAAGCCTAGCAATATATCAAGTATAATTTTTTATATATATTATTTTTTTGAAAACTTGTATATATATTATTAATATTAGATTTTTATTTTTTATTTTTTTATTTTTTATTTATGCAACTTGTAATTATATTTTTAAATATTTTATTTGATTAATTCTTTTATTATAAATTTTATTGTTCAATATTGTTATGAATTTCTAATGAAATAGTTTTTTTTGTTGATGTTTTTTAATAATATATATAAGTAATTAGCATTTTTTTTTTGAAGAATAAGTAATTAGCATATAAGTCTCAGCATACTATGGATAAAAATAATAATGTTGAGAATGTTGATATGGGTGAAGAACTATATAATAAGAGCATTCAAAAATAATATAATAAGAAGAATTTTATGATATATTATAAATGTTTTGTAAGAAAATTATAAATGATAAGAATAAAAATCATTGAATGTTTGTAAGGATGTATTCAATTTAGAATTTCAATGACTTTTGTAAACTTTTTAAAATAAAAAGTCGATAAAAGTCTATGAATGTTTTTTATATAGACTTTTATAGAGTCTTATAAAGTTTTAAAAAGTTTTGAACGACTCTATGAAAGTCAATCAAAGTTTATTAAAATCTATCATTTTAAAAGTCTTTAAAACTCTACAAAAGTCATGATTGAATACACCCCCCTAAGCTTTTTTATTTGAGTCGGTCAACTATGAATAACCTAAATATATTTTGTAAGTTTGTAACGGCTACTCGAAAGATGATGCAATCTAGGTGAATTTCGTTTTGTCACCGTACTACACATGTGTAAACCAGCTCAAATACTAGCTCTCAAAAGTTTTAATTAAACGAAGGGAACGTAACCACGTTAGAAATTTGTTAGGGACAAGAACATCTAAGGTAAACGTCGCATGTCATCCTTAATTGAAGATGATGATAATAATCTCTCAAACAACGAACACGCTTTGCTCCAATTAATGTCAAACTTTTTCATCTATATATGTATATATGCAAGTTAAGTCTTCCTTTTTGTATATAAGTTAACAATTAGTCGATAATTATAAAGTCATCAATCAAGCAATATATATATGTATTATTATTTTTAAGTCTTCCTTTTTCCAATAACAATTTAAGTTTTTACATAATTAATATATATATATATATATATATATATATATATATTTATTTATTTATTTATTTATTTATTTATTTACTTACTTTTGGAGTGATAATACGTACTTTTTTTTGGTTCTGATATTTACCATATAATATAAACATCCTAATATGACGTTACTTGATTAGTTGTTTTCTATATTTAACCGAGGACGGAGCCAAAGGGGGGCAGGAGATCTAACAAAGAACAAGATGTCAAAAACTTTTACGAGTATCATTTAAAATGCAGAAATTACTATTAATACAACAACATCCTTTCACACTTTGATGTGCAGAAACGCTGCTAAGAAATAGCATGGCGTTCACATATTGTAAATTAGTTCTTGCATATAAAGGACAAAAGCTTTCGAGCATTTGGTATACCTGTTTACAATGGAGATACATGGTTAGTTTCATCAAGGAAAAGACAGCCAAACACATAGTTGTAGAAATCGTGGCCCTTGACAGTTTCTCCTCCTTTTACCACAGCTTCTGTGTCATACGTGCAAGCTCTCTTGCAGTCAGGACAGTAGGTAACCTGGAAACAAGCATATACAGTAGATTCCATCAATTCTTATACCATGAACCATAATTAGGATGTTCATGTTCACAAGTAGCAACTTTACTAAGGATATTTATACAGCCAACATGTCACATAGATTTGTGGGGTTGTGAACATTCGTGAAAGGGTGCACACAGCATTGTGAGTCGTGGGTCTTGATAATATTTGTACCAAAAATAAATAATATGGTCTGCTAAAATTCCTATTATACTTGGATGACATTCCCCTAAAATGCATGAATAATTGAATATTTTATTCGCAAAGTTAGGAAGGAGGTTCAAGGTTCAATTTCACTGCATGTAGTCCACAACCATGATCATGAACATTAAATAGCGAATAGGTGTGGTTTGTCCAATGCCTAAAACAGTGAAACCTGAAAGCAAGACAGGAACACAAGTGAAAGATTTCTGACCTCCAGTAATTTAGGCTGAAAATTGCTATCAAGCATGACATCAACACCATACATTGCCCGAGATTTAGGATGGTGCATTTCCGGATGCACTGATGCAGCAGACTCAAACACTGATCTAATCATACTCCTAACTCTCGAATGGATGTCCATCCATTTAACTGTAACAGGTACGAAAAATTAGGGTAAATGACAACCTCAAAATCCAGAAATAATATAATAAAGCATTCTAAGACGATTGAAATTATGTAGGACAGAAGTAGGAAGCACCTTTGTGCTCTAGTTCAAACTCTTTCACAAACTCTGGGGTATTCAAGTGATTCAATCTTCCTCGATAGTTCTGAAGAAGATGAAACGAGGACTATAAAGTTAGAAGATGGCTTGATTAAATAAATAATTTGTTTTATTAAATATACTATAAAACAAATTGCACTTTGATTTGGAAACTTCGATTACGGACTTAGAGTATTCCAGAAATTGCAGATAATTACTTACCATAACAGTAAAGTGAGTTTCATATTCAGCTAAACTGTGCTTGTCCAAAGTGTAAGCATTGTTAGCTAATCTGGTCTGAAAAGAAAATTGAAAATAATCAACCAAATGCAAACATTGTTACAGTGTAGGAGCTGAAGCCATAAAAAAAAACACAATCCCTTACGGTGAAGAACATTTCACATACCCAGAAAATATCAGCCAGAAATATCTCTAATGGGTTTAGGCTGCGAACCAAGACAATGTAACGAAGATCAAACTTTCTCCCTTGGAACAAAGCAGGGTGCTCAATATACTTCTGGCATACTTTGGGCCCAGTCTCCATGAGACGAATAATAGCAGATAAATTGCCAGTTATGGTTGTATCAATAGTTCTGGCCATGTTCCACGGCTTCAAGATCCATAGATTATCCAGTCCATCCCTTTCCCGTACAAGATAATCACCAATCATTTGAGCAAGTTGAGTTTCAAGGTTATATGTGGGCTGAAGCCATTCAGGCAATCCATGAGCCTGATGGGAAAAGGTAACAATATTTAGCATCATATTGTGCAAATAAAAGGCCCTTCGGGTAAAGATAAAACATGGAAGAATGTTATTATAACCTTTTGAACTGTTTCTGCCAAATGATGTTTCATAACAATACAAGCCTCAAATGGAAATTGATTTATGTACTGTTGATCATTGAGTCCTGCAGCCTTCTTCAGCTCCTCGTCTACCTGCATACTTGTCCAAATAATATCTGCATCCTTTGCCTCAGATGCTGCAAATAATCCAAATTTAAGCATAACAGTGTGAACAATTATACAATCAGTCTATTATTGTTTGGGTATAAAATATTAAAATAAACACCTGCAACATGAAAATTATGGTCAAGGCAGGATGTAAATGAAACACGATTCAAGATGAGAAAAATAGACATACTAATTACAAATTCAGGGCGGTTCAGGAAATCCTCCACATGAGGTATATCTGTATACACACGCAAAGCACTTCCATCAGCACGGTACAAAGTACTCGTAACAGATGACTCTTGTAGTGGGGAAGTAAATTTGGTTGATTGCAATTTCTGCCTGTAGCTCTCATACTCCTGGAGATTAGACAAGCAATAACTTCTGCAATAAACCTCAATGTTCTGAATTCATAAAATTACAGGCAAAGTTCAAATATGGGGAAAGAAGCAATACTTTAATAAAGTAATTCCTTGGGGTGTGGAACCAAGCAGTAAGTCTAGCCGAACGTTGTTTATCTTCCCCAATTCCAAATAGGAAATCACGAGTGCACTCATCATTTCTTTGAATATCTTCAGTTGGCCAAAGAATTGAATAGCTGAAAAATGTTCACTCAATAGCTTAATAGAAATTACAGAGGGAGGTTAATGCCTCTATTTCTTGGCATATATGTCAATAAATCCATTGTAAGGAATATTCCATTAATGGAATGAAAAGGGTGTGCTGGGTGGTTTTTCTGTATGAATTGAATTTTGCATTTGTATAACAAAGCTTTATAGTTTGTGTTTGTTATTTAATAGCTCCGGAGCAACACCCAGTAGTTAAATTGTGCAAGACAACTAAAAAGAGGTCTCAGATTTCCAAAACTATATACACTGACAAAATGAAGGTTGTGAAACTTTAAATACCAAAGCTGATGCTAATTATAGGACCAATGTATAGCCAGACTTTACTAAATTAAGCAATTTAAGTTACCAATGAATGAACATAGACGGTAGGAGAAGAGAACCTCACAGCTGATGCCAATTCACCCTCTGGCATGTAGAGGAAAGGAGACACTCTAAAATTTGGTTCATCACTATGCCGCATAGATGAACCTAATTCATCCATAACATACCTATCCACACACAAAAACATAATAGTGAAGGGTGAATGTAAGAGTTTGATTAAATTAATTTTGTATATTAGCAATTAAGTATATTTTATATTGGTTTAATAAAATATTACAAAAGTCTAGTCTGTTTTTGCCAAAATCATTATGGTTATGAGTGCCAAATGCAAAGTTGAAAGCAATAGGATAGTTCAAAGTTTATATATTTCCTCTTCTTTCTAATGTGTATCCTTCAAATTTTATTTACATAGTGTTCCCATTTGGATTAGACAAGTTCAAACTTAAATTCCTTCAGAATGCCTGTCAAGAATTTATGCAGCTAACAAAAAACTCATATTGTCCTGTCGTTATAATATCTATATGCATGTAAATTGTATCCTTTGAATTTTATTTGCATACAGTTCCTACTTGGATTACATGAGTTCAGACAAAAAAGTTTCAGGAATCCCATCAAGATTCAAGCTGCTATCAGAAAAATTCACTATGGGAGCAAAATTCACTTATAGAAAACAATATATACAGTAACCAATAAAAATTAGCAAAGCCAAATGCATACCATACAGAGGTTTCATCAATTTTTTCTTCATCTGCAAGTCTATAAGTCATCAAATAAAACCACATTGCATTTATAATGCGGTCAGCAATAGGTTCTCCTGCAGTCCATTCAGGAAGGCGTGGCAACAACATTGAATCAACCACAGACTTTCCAGACTCAGAAATTTTGGATGTGCTTACACCATTCAGTACAGAAAGATTTGGCAGTGCTTCAACAATTCTAACAGCATTTTCTCCAAGAGGCCCAGGTATATCCACCTGTTCAATTTCTCATCAAATCTGTTTTAAGTTTTAAACTGAAAGAGTTGGATCTCATGAAGATACCTCCAGAGCACTCAAGCAACTGAATTGATTAAGTAGTTCCAATAAATCATTTGCAGAGTTCTGGTCCAGTGGATTTCCACGAATGTTCAAATGTGAGAGAGATGGCATTTCAGTAGGAGAAAATGCCTGGTGAAAATTTGATTAAGAAAATGAGACAGGACCTTGCTTGAAAAAAATATACAAAAAATAAAAGCCAGGTGGGCAATACAAGTATGAATAACATTCATAAACCACTTAGTTGCATTTACTTCCCCCTCCCTTTGAATATTGAAAATTATCCTGTATTTTTTTAGCCAAAAAATTAAGGGAGGTTGAAAGACACTCACCTTATTGAAGAGGTTGTTAATGCATCTATTAGATAGGTCTAGTGAGCTCAGACACTGCAAGGGTTGTTCACCTTGATATGCATAGCCTGGACGGTCTTTATTGTATATCTCTGCACAAAACCCTAATGCCCACACACCAAAATGTGGGGTGAACCGAGAATTGTAAATTTCCAAACTAGAGCAACCTTGAAGAATAGCATCTTCCATACAACCATCACTGAGAAATGCATAGCTTGTGTTAGATGCCAATGCTCAAGACTTACGTAACAAACTGCTAGTATAGGAAAAAAATTATGAGCTTACCCATTCTCCTTCAGAATTGGATTATCATTCAACCAAAGAGCTTTAAGACTTTTGAGTTGGGTAACCTCCCTTACAACAGTTTCAATATTCTTCAGATTGTTGCCACACAAGCTTAGTGCAAGTAAATTCTGGTGCAAAGACAGTTTAATAGTGACGCAGTAAGATGCCAAATGTGATATGGACCACCACCATTAATTAAGATAGCCCATTAGGTGATAGAAAACAAAAATCATACAGGAAATTTATGAGGCAAATCAAGAGAAGAAAGCATATCATCGTCAATGCCAAGCTCATCAAGTTCCAACCACCTTGCAGCATCACCTTCTTTAGCCTTAATTACTTCTCTCGTCACTATCTCCTCGGCACTTAATTTCGTATTATCTTCACCTATGTCACCTTCCTCAACAGTGTCTGACAAATCAGTGTCCACACACATTAACGCAGCCATTCTTTCTGCCAGCCCAGGAACTTCCTGTAACTGTAAATGTGGTGAAAGAATCAGAATCTGATAATGTCTAGCAACCTAGCATTAACAGACAAACAGGTATATAACAACACAACTAAGCCTCAATCCCAATCTGCAATAATTTGTATTTCTCTGCTCAACTCTGTGAATGTGTGAATCAATGCCAAGTGTTCACTCCTTGTACATCCAAATTGAACAAGTCCAGAGTATATTTACTTGAATATACCAAAGAGTACATAGTTTGGAAGATGAGACAGTATTATTTCAAAATTCAAATAACGGATTCCTGACCAAATTTCCCACTGATGCATTTTCACTTTAGAATGCAACTGAGTGTTCTTCATTTTCTTCTATTTCAAAAATAACCAGTCATATAAACCAAAAAGAAATGAGCGCATGTATGTATGTGTGTGTGTGTGTGTACACACACACACACATGATTATTCTAATTCACAAATATCAAATAATTCCTTAATAAACAGTTTATCTTTGACGCTCAACCATAAAAATGCAATGTATTAGGTGAACTGAATGGTTAGAAAATGAAAACTGAAATAGCCATAAACGAGTTCAATGAATCATCACATTTTCAATAAATTCCCCATAAACCAATCAGTAGAGCCGAACCTGCTTATAGGCATCGGAAAGGCGGAAAGTCCAAGCATGGTCAACGAGGAAGAGATTAGACTCCTTAGCCATGAACTCTGAGGTGAACAGCAGGCGCCTTTGGTTTCCATCCTCCACAGGCTCGATCTGGAAATGGTGGCCGCCGTCGAAGGCCTCCGCCGCGAGCTTCTGGAAGAGCAGGGGGTGGAGCTTCTGAGGAATTCCCGAGGAGGCTAATAACACGCCGTGGACTTTAATGAAGTCATCGTAGGTTTGGATGGCAGGCATTGCGCAGGTCTGAGCGAGCAGACACAGTGACTCGGTGGTGAGTTGCGGCTGAGACGGACGAGGAGGGTTTAGCAGGGTTTTTCAGCAGGGTTAGAGGCGTGTTTGGTAGTTTCGGGATGACTACTTTTAATTTTTTTTTCTTTTTAAATAAGTAGAAAAAATGACATAATCAAACTAAAAAAGCAAGTATAGATTTTTTTGTTAATTCCTACATATTTATGTAGGAGATGGGCAAAGAGAGAATAGGAAAAAAGTGAAAAAAAAAAAAAAACAAAAAAAAAAAAACAAAACAAAACAAAAACAACCGACAAAAAGTATAACATAACAATAATAATAATAATAATAATAATAATAATAATAATAATAATTGACTCTTTACGCGACTAGTTGACGTGTGCATTAACTAGGCGCAACTATTTCTTACACACGAGTGCGAGACTACACTTGTTTTTTTCTCTCATTTTCTAATCAAGTGGACTTCACAAAAATGTTTAACTTTGTATGAGTAAAAATTACAAATAAATACCCCACATTTGTTAACAAAAATCAACCCTAATTATTTTATTTTTTTTACTGCAAAAAAAAAAATATCTCTAATGTGATTGGCCTAGTATTTTACTTTCAAAATTATCATCTTTCACTTTTTACTTTTTACTTTTTCATTTATATATTTATGTACAAACTTTAGTAACAAAATATATTCAATTAACTATTTATTGTTTTTAACTTAATCATTGCAAAATATTTGCTAACTTAATAGTAATAGTACTAATAATAACAACAGCGATGATGATTATTGATATTTTGTTTTTATTTTATTGTTTTAGTAATTAAATTAGTGTATACAAAATGGAACTCGATTTAATTTTTTATATTCTTTTTTAACTATTTTTTTATTTGTGGCAAGAATTAAAATTAATAATATTTACTTCATTTGATTTGTTTCTTATAACTATACTATATGCATTAAAAAAAGGAGTGAAAGTTTTTTTTTTAATCTCCATCTTAAAAGAATATGAATATCATACTATAATTATTTTAAGAATACATCATATTCTCTTTACTTAAATAAAACATTGTTTGTTGTCGCACGAATTTTAATTTTTTCTATTCCAAATCTATATTGTTTTAATTAAAAAGCACATGTTAATACAAGCCGGTATACTATGTATTAGTCACAATTCTCTCTATTTTAAAAATTTTGGGCGCGCTTTGAAATCGTTTGCAGGTTTTCAGTGTTTGGATAGAGAGGGAAAATGGAAATTAATGAAAAATATAATAGATTTTTTTTTGAAAAATGACTTCTCCTTTGTCTCTTAGAAAGTCATTTTTTTGTTTGCAACAGTGGACCAGTCAATCACCCGCCACCACCCACCACCACCATTGTATATTTAAAATATTTAAAATTAAAAAATAATTATGCAAACACATTATCTGGAATGCAACCAAACACGCGAAAGGAAAATGTTTTCTAGAAAATGAGTATTTTTTCATAAAATATTTTTCAGAAGTCATTTTTCTACTTTCCAAACACACCTTTAAATGCAAAAAATTCATCATACAATCAATCTTATAGGAAAAAAGAAGATAATGTTTCAAAATATCAACGAGAGTTTACAATATGAGTAGTTTACATATAACAATAAGAAAAAAAAAAAGAAAAAAAAACTTGTGTAAAACTGTTTCATAGATCATTGCTTGTGTTACAGGCCGGGTGAATGCCAAATGTAATACTTGAAAATGTAATACTAATAAGGAATAAACTGGTTATTACTTATATAGTAAAGTGTAATACTTTTGAATAAAAATATAATACTTTTACATTTCGATTTAAAAGTATTGCAGTTTTCATCAAAAGTATTACATTTTCCCTTATAAGTAACAAATACTTGCAACATTACTTATAAGGAAAAATATAATATTTTTGATAAAAATGTAAAAGTATTACATTTTCATTTATAAGTACCAATCACTTTATTCATAATTAGAATTACATTTTTCATTATAAGAATGTCTGCCCCACCTCCTACTCCGGAACTCCTCCTCCGCAAGAACACTTAACAAGTCGTGGACTCCTTGGCATCGTGTATGAGACTTTGATTCCTGAGTTCACTTTACTTCTTTCGTGCGCTTTCCTTGATATATCCTCGTCTTGGGCGAGCCCCTGAGGTGGCCTCCAAGATGCGTCCTCCTCTTGGGCGAGCTCATGATGTGGCTGACTTGATGCGTCCTCCTCTTGGGCGAGCTCATGAGGTAGCTTCCTTGTTAGAGAGAGTCGGGCTCTAGGCCACCCTTAGCCGAGGCTTCCCCGACCGAGGTCACCTCTAGCCAGGACTACCCCAACTAAGGTCGCCTTGGGAGGGCTAAGCTTGAGTCCCCGTGCGCCCTCCTTGGTCGTGTTTGACTTCGGTTGATGAATATCCTCATTGCCTCGACCCAGACCCGGGGCGTGGACCTCGGGCAAGGACTACTACGTGGACCTCGGGCAAGGACTACTGCGTGGACCTCGGGCAGGGACTACTGCGGGGACCTCGGGCAGGGACTACTGCGAGGACCTCAGTTGGGGACCCCACCTGGGTCTTCCCGCGTGACTCGGTCAACTAAGATCCAACCGCCCACCCTATTCTCTTGGGGTTGGTTGGGAGAACTATTTAGTATAAAAGGGCGCACCCTTGTCTTGTTAGGACCATCTACTTCTTATTATTATTACCATATTTACCTTGTAACTCTCCTACAAACATTATCAATACAAAGTTGTCCCCGCGACACACATTCAACGTCTTTCCCAATCCCTTATTTATCGGGTTTAGTAATTCGGGTCCCCCCGGGTTAATTAAATCCATCATTGGTGCTCTTGTTGAGAGTTGACATACAAGCTCGAGCGTGCTCCATATTCCACGAACTATGGCAAGGTCGAGGTCCAACTCTCGCGGCTCCCGTAACACCCGTGCCTCCCCGACTAGGGGTGGCCTCAACGGGACCACTAGTCAGCCACAAGTCCCATCTTTGAGGTCGGCGGGTGACCTCAGAGACCGCCTCAACAACCACTGCAACGACACAACAGCCGCCCGTCCTCCCCCGGATCCTGCCCTCTTCCGGGAGGGGGCGGCCGCCCTTCAACAGGCTTCAATGACATTGGACCGCCTCGGCGGGGGCTCCAGGAAAGTGTTCCGGTCGGCCCAGGGGCCGCCGAAGGGGCCCCAACCCCGCCTCCGGCACCCTCGATGGGGCGTAGCGGCCCGAGGGCCTCGACGGGACCACTAGTCAGCAACGAGGGCTTTCTTTGAGGTCGGCGGGTGACCTCAGAGATCACCCCACCAACCACCGCAATGGTGCGCTGGCACCCCCGTCCTCCTCCAAATCTAGCTCTTTTTCAGGAGGAGGCGGCCGCCCTTCAGCAGGCCTCAGTGACATTGGCCCGCCTCGCGGAGGGGGCTCCAAGGAGGTACGTGGGTCGGCCCGGAGACCACCCGAAGGGTGCCAACCCCACCTCCGCCTTCCCCGAGGGGGCGCAGCAGCCCAAGCACCCAACCACCACGCACAGGTCAACACCTTCCTCGAAATAGGGCACATTGAGGAGGTCCTATACCTTGGGTGGCCCGCCAACGTGGTCCTCGACCACAATATCATTGTTCTAGAAAAGGGGGCACCTGGCGACCCCACCCCCGAACCCCAAAACTATTTTATTTTTTTCCAAAGGTAAAGGAGGTGGGGGGGCTTGACCCCGAACAACGACATATGTTCTACCTAGTAGAATCGGCGGAATCCAACCTCGCCTAGCAAGAAGAGGAGTTATTAACCCCTGGTCGTGGTCGTGCGCGCCGGCCCCGACCTTGGCTTTCCCTAACGGTAGTATAGGGGGGACGCCCCCGCTCACTACTACCTAGCGAAAGAACCTATAAGAGGTCCTACGGCGGCACCCTGCTACTCTACTTATACCACGACGAGGCAAGATCAGACTTTGAGGAGGTCGACGCAAGAGGACCTACCCAATCCAACCCCTAGACCTCAGCCACAAGCACACCTCCAAGATAGCTTGGGTGAAGAACCCCAGGAAATCCAGTTCGGAGGCCTACCCGGTACTCCCCTTGCAAGCTCAAGCTCCCTACTGGCTCGACCACCTTAAGGAGTACAAGAAGACAAGCGTCCTCCCCCCAGGAGAGGGGGAGGCCAAGCTCGGGAAAAGGAGGGCCCCAACCTGCCTACTCCTCGAGGACACACTATGCGGAAGGGTCTACAACGGCACCCTGCTACGCGACCTATACCCCGAGGAGGGCCACCGGGGAGACCCCATTCTCCTCGCTCTACGACTTTGAAGCCCAGACCTCCTCCGAGGTTGCAATACCTTCCCATCAGGCAGAAAATTTGACCCCTGCCTCAACGAGGGCAACCACCGGACCTCCGCGCCGAGAATCACCAACGCCAAGCTAAGGCCTACCACGACAAGCGTATTCAATATTTCTTGGCCCACTATTGGCCAAACCACCTGGGCACTAGGCCCAATGTGAGTTGGATCACTTAGCCACGCTTCATAATTGGAAAAACGAGCACCGTGGAAATACATGCCGCTCAGCCAATGGAGAGTTGCCCGAAATGGGCACTAAATACTTTTCGGGAGATCTCCTCCAAATCACTAGTATGGTTATCGAAATCGTGAGCATCAGCATGTAGGTTCCAGATCCAAGTGGTAGTATCGTACTTCCAATATTTATATCTTGTAAGGTGGCCCGCCGCCCTTCAGCTTCAATAAACGCAGTAAAACTTCGTCATGGACTCATTTTCACTATTCCGGGGGGTGAGGTACCCATCCAGCCTCTTCGGTTACCCTAAGGGGGAACGAGGCCCGACCTCGCGTACAAACCCCGACGGAAGAGCTTAACGGCCCAAGTCCGATGACTTGGGGCCGACGGGCTTACCCTAAGGGGGCACGAGGCCCGACCTCGCGTACCAACCCCGATGGAAGAGCTTAACGGCCCAAGTCCGGTGACTTGGGGCCGACGGGCTTACCCTAAGGGGGCACGAGGCCCGACCTCGCGCACCAACCCCAACGGAAGAGCTTAACGGCCCAAGTCCGGTGACTTGGGGCCGACGGGCTTACCCTAAGGGGGCACGAGGCACGACCTCGCGTACCAACCCCGACGGAAGAGC